CGCTAGTAGGTTGGAGGCCGTCGCTAGTAGGTTGGAGGCCGTCGCTACTACCTTTACCTTCACTTGATGAACTTGAGACCGACCTCCTGCAGGCCGGACTCCCCAAGACTTGGTGAAGCACGCCGCGAAGCAGGACGGAAAGCACCGCAGCCGTCTCACCTTCGGTGAAAACGGATGGGTCGGTCCAGGCGGCGGAGGTGTTTATTGTTTTTCGTGTTCACCATCGAATCGAGATCGAGAGGGGCAACATGATCAAGTGCTGAAGTGTCAGTTTGAGACCCTCATTTGAGACTCATGTGGCATGACAGTCATGTGCTTCGACTCCGTTTTATTTCGTGGATTTGGTTTTTATTTGCTATGGCGAGCATTGCCGCTTGCGTACTTAAGAGAGTCTTTGCCAGTCGAACCCAAGCTAAAACCAAAACCTGTCACCACACTAGCCAACACGCGTCCAACAGGCCAGGTTTGATTGTAAAAGTGACCGTTGTTGTCATGCAAAGTCATTGAGATCGCCATTCCGATCTGCTGCGAAAAAAATATTTGGCATAAACCACAAGCATTCCACAGATCCAATCGTTGGTGCAGACGGCCAGGCCACAAGAAGTTTGTGTGCCAAATGAAACTCCATAGGTTGATACATGGTTTGTTTACATATGTTACACATATTTTTTACATGCTAAAACAGTTTTAAAAAAACACACAAAAACCAACATGGCAGCGGTTGATCTGCCTTCAGAGATTTCAATGACATGTTGAACATGCAAACGTGTGAATTGGACGACGCATCCCTTCGGGAGTCGCTTTTGGACAACATCCAATTGGAACCGGGTTCCCGCAGCGCCCCGAGTGAAACCAGTGACAAGCAGCTGTGCCCCCTCAAGCAGCAGGACACTTAATAGAGCATCATAGAATTGATGGACTTCCTGCTGCAGCCTGCTGCCACAAAACAGCCACATTGGTTGGGCAGAGACAGTTCGCTGGTATTCAAATTTGCCCTGTCAGGGCTACATGGCTGGAGGGAAGAAGAAGGAACTCCTTTCTGCGTTGGGAGGCGGGGGGCCCGACCACATGACCCGGCTGGAAGCAGTGAAAATGGTACAACCTCAGGGGCGCTCAGTGCTGATTCTACGGGTATTCAACCATGGCGTCCAAGTATTGGATTATGTAAAGCGATGATCAACCTCAAATGCTGACTGAACTGTAGGTGTTGTCAGATTGTATCAGAATCACACTGCAAGAGCATTTGGTTCCAACAGCTGTCTCATTGCATCGACTGGTAGAACGTACTGAGGTACTGACAAACGAATCCAACCAGATGTGAAGCACTACCCTAGCTGCACATTCTTCATCACAGGGGGTCATTGATCCAGAAAAGGACCTGAGGACTGGTATGCACTGTTTTTTGGATGGTTTTGGCTTTCCTTTTGAGGCCGGTGACATGGGGTCATTCGCCGATTCAGGTGACATGGGGACCCCTAGTGAGGAACCCTTGTACCTGGTCACGCTGGTCATGTTGCTCGAAGGTGCTGAGAGGATCGAATGCAAGAGGGGTGGGTAGGAACGCAACCTTGTGAAGCTGGGGTCTCGTGTGCTGGGTAGTGCAGGAGGTGCTGCAAATCCCCCGTCAGCAGAGAAATTTGTAGACCAAAGGAGCCTTGCTTCCACAAGACCTAACCTAAGAAGCTCTTTGTCAGCTCCAACCCCACAAGCTGAAGCCACTTGAAGCTTCTCAACTCATGCTGAGATGCGGAGAGAGTTTCAAACTCACCATCTATTGAATGGTGCAGGGGAATGTCTCGGAGGAGATGGGCACCATGGCAGGATCTTGAACCAGACATTGTTTTTACATATATATATATATATATATATGTGTGGATGTCCTCAATGTCATTGAGACAAACATATTGCCGTCATTTGTACGAGACAAACACCATTTTCGGCGCCGAGGTCATCAGAACACCAAAGCACCAAGCACTGTGGAGTGAAGTTCTGCCCGGACTCCACGCTTGAAGCTAACAACACCGATCAGATAAAATCTCAGCATGAATCAGTCTGTGAATCGCGAGAAAACTGTGCACCGTCAAGGATTTACTGTTAGAGGTCCCCTTCGAAGCTCTTCGATGTTGGCCGAGCTCCAGCTGTGAGGCGCACCGAGGATCAAGACCAAGAAGGCCAAGCGCCCCGCAACATACAAGAGGCCCGCGAAAATCCAAATCAATTTTAATTTTTAGAATTTACGACCACTTGAATATTTATAGACATTATGAAATAAATTTGAAATTAATCGAATTAATAATTTAAAATATAACAATATTATTTAATAGATAATAATATTTGATTTTAAAATTTAATTTTAAATATATTTAAAGAATAGTATTTAAAATTCATATTTATTTATTTATGGCCGGCGGAACGAATTGGTTCGTATTGGATTGGCAATCGAAAGGTATTGATCGATTATTTTGGTGAGTTATTTAGGCGGCAAAAATGCGTTTTGATGTTTTATTTATTCGAAAAACAGAATATAAATGGCTTGGATTGCATATCGTGTCGTTTGTAGGCATTTATTAGGATTGAGATTTATATGAACAACGTTATAAATTATTATGAAAGAATTTAGATAGGATTTAAAATTATGAATTTTTGCGAAAGGAGGTTTTTAGTACAAAGCATGTTATTTAAAGATTCTTAATAACTAGGTGAAAGGTTCGCGAAGATGTGGCGAAAGCAGTGCTTATAGATTAGGAATGATTTTCCTTTCGGATATTTTTCTTAGATGTGAGTAGTAGAAATTCGGCGAAAGGGTTAGCGAAAGAGGTTAATGGATGAAATGGATCGGCGAAAACAAAGCATGCAGCCGCGAAAGGCTTTTATAATTTTAAAAAAATTTCCGGATGGTTTTTGACACCGTTTATATTAATTAGACGAGGTAGATATTTTGATCTATTTTATGAAGATATGGAATTGCAATTGGGAGACGATTATCGCTCTTGTACGAAGAATATATTGGCTATAGTGAGGGATATATTGCCTCGGTATAGAATAGCAGTGATGATTTGCTATTTAATCTATCGATCGTACGGTTATATGCATATATGAAATATGGGAATAAGATGGAGTCGGTTCCAGCTTATTAAGGTTTTAAATTTAATATTAAGCGCTGGAAAACGGTTGATCTGCAAATAAATTGTGGTAGCGGAGCGGAGGAGAGGTTGCATCTAATCCCTAATAAATTCAAGAAAAGGTGTTGTTTATATAGCATGCCCATAACTCGGTTATTAGAATTGTGTTCATGAAGCAATCGTTGGCCTCGTTTCCAAGGCATAAATTAAACAATGAATGTTTTTAGTGCTTGAGAGACCGAGCCACCGCCTGGCCCAAAGGTGACCGCTGCAGGGTCGAAGGCCTCAGCCGCACTGCTATCAGCTAGGTCAGGCCATTGCCCGTGAGCTTCGTGAGGAGGTCGAACAATTCCTGAGAGGCCGAATTGCGAAGCGAGATGTCGAGCCGCCAGGGAATTATCACGTTGGAGCTCGGGCCCAATTGATCGGCTGGTATCGGTTTGAGTGCCGAGAAGCTGGGAATCAACTCCGGCTGGTTGGCAATCTGATGGATTCGTTCGATCATCTTGGAGGCCTCTGCGGAGGATATTGGATCCCGGGACGATGGCTTCAAAATCTTTTCCTGGGGATCCCATTGCAGGTAATTCCAGGCATTTGTGGGTGTTAGGATTTGTTTGGCACGGAGTGCCAAGATTAATTCGTGGTCGTTTGACCCTAGCGGTAGCTGGGCCGCCCGACTCGCAAGCTCTTCGAAGATTGATTGGAACATCAGCTGGCGGAGGGGTCGATCCACCGTGCCTTGTTCTCGTTGCCTATGTCATGTCTTGCTGCAGTTGCGGAAGGATCGAACTCTTGCCAATCTGGATAAATAGAAGGAAGATTCGATCCACATTCAATTGGTTCAATTGATCCTCCTGCCTTAAAGTTAGTTTGGCTAACATAATTAGGAGAGACGAATCTTCGGCCGAGCCCGAACCCGATGAGTGCAAGGGCTTCTTCTGCCCTGGGCGGGAGCGTCGATGATCTGATGAGGATTCCTCCTCGTTTGGCCGTTGTCGTTTGAAGTGCGAGGAACACACTTCCATCAGGTCTGCAAAAGATTGATCCTCTTCTTTCATACGGTCTATCTGTCAGACCCTGATGCAAATACCACTGAAACCAATCTTGGGCCAGGACGTGCTTAAGTTCAAAAAGGCAATTCTGAAACAACTGTAGTTGAAGTCCCAAAGATTCAAGCACTTGCATTTGGTCAATCTGAATTGGGGCTGGTTCAGCTGAGGTCCACGTCCAAAAAGATAGGATGCACTCGGGTGCAAACATGCAGTAGTCGTAGCGGCGGTACATATTCAGTCTGGACCTGCGGAAGTGTGCAAAAATGAGCAAGCCACGGGGTAAATTGCTCGAACCAGCGGAGGCGGTGATCAGGACCAAACGATGGTGTCGCTTGCAACGGAAGGCATGGCAATACAACATTCATGGAGACACGCAGGTCATGGGTCAAGAGTGCCAAGCCGGCGCATCCTCGGGGATCTGCAGACCAAAGGAATCCATCAATGAAATTGTCGAACAGGCGTGCCAATCCATGGGGTTCTTAATCTGATGGATCGAGGACAGATTGGTTGCTGCCTCATTTGGTGCTGTCTCGGTGGATGCCAAGTCTGGTGTTTCCATTGTTGTGACAGGTCCGAAATGCAGATCCTTCCCCCATTCAATCAACAAGGCTGGGCACGTTGGTAGTGTAGCTTCAGTGCAGCCTCAGTCGTGAAGCAACGCAGGCAGTGTGCACATCCCAATCGACTAGGCATCATGTCACGATTGGGTCTGAAGCTAAAGAATTCTGGTTTATCAATTTGATATTTATTCCTCAAGTGACCTGCCAATCCCTTCCTACCAATTCTGGCATGACAGAGGGGGCAAATGAAAGTCTTCGGAGGGGTGGGAATGTCAGTTGGCGTGCGAATCAAGATTGCCTGAACCGTGTTAATGCTGGGCACTTTGGATGCACGTGGCAATTCATGATCATCCGTTGCAGCATCATGATCATATGATTGCCTGTGTTTTTCAAGACCGGTCGATGTCAGGAAGCTACTATGACAGTGCTGGCAAACAAAAATGGTGGGTTTCGGCGATGGCGAAATCTCAATTGCCTGATCAATACTGGCTTGCGGCTGTGTGTAGTGTACTTGGCAGTGAGGAGAAATTTGAAGTTTACCTGGCGGCAGCTGTGGCGGGTCAACAGGAATCTAACGTGATTGAGAGGATGCATTCGAGGCAATGTTTCTCGAAGCTTTCATCATGATTGGCATAATGGGAAAGAAATCTGGTTGAAAGATATGATCCAGCATTGCCGCTAACTGGAACCAAAACCCACATTCATGACCACGGACATCCTTGCATTCCCTATCCTAGAAGCTACAGCGTCCACGTCCACTGCCGATATTGGCCAGGCCAGTGACTTAGGTTTGGTACTGTGCAGCAAGTGGAACTACATGTGGATGATGATCAATATAATGCTTATGGATTGACCGTGCAGCTATCTGACAATGACAAAAGGCGTAATGTCGAGACAATTCATTGACTAGGGCTTGGTTGAGCAGCAAACCAGGGATGGATTTGTGACGCAAGTGCATTTTCAGGTCCGGTCTCGTCACAATCGGTGTGATCGACTCCTGTGCCGGGTTGCGACCAGTTCGGAACACATCGGAAAACCAGATTGGTCTGTGACCATCAATATGTGATGCCATGTTCCCCTGCAAAGAGCGCAGGGGAACCGTTCAAGCTCAAGGATCTTAAGATATCTTAAGATCTTGAAGGAGGTGCAAACAGGTCTGTTGATGTGATCCCTCAATCTGTAGAAATCTATAAAGGAGTGAGAACAATGATTACAAATGGGTCTACCGTTCCAGGCATCACGCAAAGGGTCATAAACATCCTCTGGTTCCCATGGGATGTCATGAAATCGTTTTATATGGCATTTGAGTGCACCCACCTGCTTGAATGCATGATGGCATTCAGGACATGAGATTTCCTGAGCCAGCTGTGGATCCGGTGAATTTCCAGGCAAGGTGAGGTCACTAGGCCATAAATCTGGGATGCAGGCACAGGCATAGGTGCAATTTCGGTCATGGCTTCCAGTCGAAATCGAGCGGCACGGGTGAACAGAGCTTGTTCAATGCGAGCTTGTTTTTGCTGCAATTGGGTCCATGGTGGTATGAGATTAAGCCTATCGAAGAAATTCTGCGTGGACTCATGTGACAGGCAAACAGGGTATGTTGTTATGATCCTATGGTATGTGTTGATCATGCTTATCAATTTTGAGAGACCTCGACATATAATTCCCATTTCATGAATATCGTAGCTGACCGTGGACATGACACATTGACGGAAATAGTCATATTAAAGAAAATGAAATCTATTTATTGTTGATTATTAATTGATATTTAAGTAAATATGAATTTTGAAATTTGAATACGAAAGAAAATTGAATGAAATTTATATATTTGATCATATATAGCAATCTATTTTAATAGTATATATCAATAATATATTTAATTAATATAAAAAATGTATGATTTAATGAAATTCGTAATTGTATAAACATAATGTAAAAAGAAATATAATCTATATTTTATAATACAGATTCGATGAAATTAATAATATTAAATTAATATATATTATTAAGATATAAAATAAATATATAAATTCTATCAATAAAGAACTATTCACCATTGTTTAATTTTAAAAAGAAGATAATAATATATATTTTTGATTAGCATTTACTTTTTATGGACGAATTGCGGGGGATTGTATTATCTTTTTTATTTTGAATATATTGATTAAAAATATATAAATATAGAATAATATTTTATTTCATAATTATTTTTCGTGATATTAATTTAGAGGTAATTATATATAAATAAAATATGTGTATTTAATTAAATTTACTATTTGATTTATCGGATATAACTATTTCATTATATATTTTCGTCGATACGAATAATATATATATAAATTATATTATAGGCGGCTAACGATCCAATTATTCTGCAAATTCATTATATTTTTAAAGATGCATTATTTAAATCATTTAAAGGATATTAAAAATGATTTGACATTTGTATTAAGATTATAAACATCTTTCGCCAATTCCTTCGTAATATTTTCGCGATAACATATTTCGATTTCATCCAACAATTTCTTTCGCTAACCCTTTCGCCGAATTTCTGCTACTTACATCTCAAAAATAAATCAACAAAGGGAATTATCCTAATCTGCAATCATTACTTTCGCGACATCTTCCCAATTCTTTCGCCGACTTTTCGCCTGCTAATCTCAGGAATCTTTGGATGACATGCTTTAATCTTTTTGCCAATCCTTTCCAATTGTTTTCCCATAATCTTAAATCCTATCTAAATATTTTCATAGAGGGTTATGACGTTGCTCATCTGAATTGCTGCTTGAATTTAGAACAATTTGGTTCATGTGTTCCCACTTCTGCCTTCGCCGTAATAGTTTGCTTGCTTACTTCCTAGCAGCCCTTTCAAAATGTCTTTGCAGGTTTGATATAGGTATTTTCGCCTGTTTCGGGCGATTTATTGTCCCAACGAACGTTGGCAAAATATTATCTTCTCCAAATTATGTTTTATATGGGAACAATTCTATTTTGAAATATATTTTGATTGCAACCTGATCATTCATATTATATATATTTATATATATACATATATTGTATGTATTTATATACATACATATATATATATACATACATACATAGATACATACAACCAACATACATACATTTAACATACTTACATACAATTAGGAATTTGCACATTGCTCTCTGCAATCCAATTTTCAATTCTTGGGAAATTGATCCATATCTTTTATACATTGAATTTTAGGATCTACGATCGCCTAAATATCTATAGAAATCATATGAGATAATTTTGAGTTCAACCGAATGCACGGTTTTCAATAAATTTTAATAAGAAACTAAAAATAATCAAGACGAATGTAATCCGATCTCTAGAATGATTGCAATATTATATAAGAATATTAAATTAAATTCAATTATATATGAAATTAAAATAGATATTGAATATATATAAATTAGAATCAATATAATAAAGAAAAATAATTGAATATATTTTTATTAGAATATAATTAAATTTCGATATTATAAATGAATTTTGAATAGGTTTAAATTACAAATAATATAATTATAATTAAAATATAGAATATTAAAAATAAATATGTTGATTTAATTTAGGTCTATTTTTAATATATATATCAATTTATCAATGGAATAAATGAAATGACATATTGTAATATTGAAAATATACAAAAATTCAAAATTGAAATATATTATACTTGAAATTGAATATAATACAAAATTGATATACTCCAATTTAGATCTAAATTGATTTTAAATATATATGTAAATTGATCGAAATAATTGATATATATATTGATTAAAATATTCAATAAATATTTAAAAATGAAAAAAATATATTTATTAAATTGATTCTAAAAAAAAAGAATGAGGCCCTAATGAGGTCTGCAATTTGCGCTTTTTCTTTATAATGGATTAGATTGGAGAAAGGCCCCAATAGGAATATAATTGGATAAATAACAAATGCATATAGAATTGTAGATCCTATGGTTGAGAGCCAATGGGATTTATAGATTTGTATTTATATATTTTAAATGGATATAATATCAAAAATCATGCAAATTATATAAATATAGAATTGACCTATTTATATTTTATATGTCTTTTCTTGAAAATTATCCTTCGTCGTCCTTGGACGAATCTTGGGCGAATACGATAGAATATTTATTATAGATGGAGAATTTATAAATACAGGGAAGGGGCTAGCGACCCATCTATCAATCTTCCCAATATATAAATTTTTATCTATAATCATCTGAATTGTTGCTTGAATTCCCAACAGATTGCTTTATATATTCCCACTTCCGCCTTCACCGTAATAATTTGCCTATTTGCTTCCTAACAACCCTTTCAAAAGGTCTTTGCAGAATTGGCATAGGTATATTCGCCTATTTTGGGCGATGATTTATCCACGACAAAAATTATAAATATATCCTTTTAAATCTATAATTCAGGATATAGTAAAATCCAAAAAACAATTCATCGATATGGTAATAATTTTTGAACCAACCTTCCATTTATCCAAACAATCTATCAAATTCTTCTTTATTATATAATTCGATAAAGAAAATTATTTATATATGTCTAGGATTTATAATTTTATCCATCCAATTATTCGATTATATATTTTATAATATAATCTGCAAATTGATCAATCCAAGATTTGCTTCACCTTATCAGAATTATCAATATATTTTTTTACAATTTATTGCAATAATATATTCCAAATTTATCAATAATAATATTTTTCTTTATAAATCATTGCCGGTCTTCTTTAACGTCACTCTTCCAATGAATCTTCATAAGCCAATAATTGACCCCAAGAAAAGAATAAATCTTTAAAATTAGATATTCGTTACGCGAAATCGTCTAATTTCCAATATAATCGTATCGGCAAACCTACGCTCATTGAGAATCAATTTCTTCGCTTTACACGCTCCATGTCATTATAATGTCGTTATTCGCGCCGTCGCATCACCTTCGGACAAAAATCACAAAGATTCCTTCGCTAAAAGAAATCGATCATCAATCACTAGGAAGGATTTAAATAAACAAAGATATTAATGAAATGATTTCAATATCAAGAAAAAATGATTGCAATACACCCACCCATTTAATAATTCTAATTGCGATGCATCAAACCACCAAAATTATATTTTTCTTTATTTGGTTAATTAAAATAATTGTTTTTTCGATATTATTTCATTTGGATTCCAATTTATTTCTTTCTCAATTATAATCAATATAAATTATTCCTTATTATAAACCTTACTATAATTAATTTATCCTATTAATTCTTCCCATAGAATTACAAATTCATTTTTTCCAATTTTAAAAAATCACCAATTAATCTATTTGCATTCCATCTTTCTTAAAAAATATCTAAACTAATATATTATTATTCACTTCCGGCAGAGGTAGCTCTGCCCGTGTTGGGTTT